AAACTACACTAATCAACACAGGTGTTATTACTGAAAGGACAGACATATAGAGAAGGATTAAGGCCAAAAATACACACACATTTATTTACCTATATGGTCAGTTGATTTCCAACAAAGGATCAAAGTATTTCAATGGAAAATGTACAATCTTTCAGCAAATGATGCTTAATTAAATATCCATATGCAAAAATAAATAACCTCAACCCTAACATCACATATAAAAGTTAATAACTTGAAATAAATTCTGGTGCAAAAACTATAAATTTTGAAAACGTGAGAAACTCTTTGTGATCTTAAGTTCCTTCAAACGTGGCACAAAATATATATAAACTATAGAATAAAAATTACTAACTCAGACCGCAGCAAAAATTTAACTTCCAGTTTTTGAAAGACACTGTTCACAACCCTGACAGCGGAGAAAGACACCGACTGGGAGAAGTATTTGCAAATTAGGTATCTGCTAAGGGACTTACATAAAACGTATATAAAGAATTCTTAAACTCAGTAAGGCACGCAACATAATCTTAAAAGGAAAACGCTATTGTTTAAACAGACAAGTCACTAAAGAAGATACACGGATGACACAAATAAGAGTTGTTCGACATCAGTAGCCACTAAAACAAAGCGCACTGTTCTTGAGTCGGCGGAGTGGTGGCTGCTCTTCAGAACAGAGTAGAATCGCCCAAAAGCTTTCCAGGTCGGCTGTCTATCATCATGGAAGCAGACTACCTTATCATTTCGTGTAGAATGCAATTTAGCAAATGCTTCATAACATAGCCCAACGCTAAACAATCTGTAAGTACATTAACTACTTGTTTTCATCTTATTTCGTGACTTAAAACAAATACATTTTTAAGTTTCACAGCTCAAATTTCAATATATATTTCATAAAATGTGCAAACTGTATTAAAAACTGCAAACAGACCAAGAGCTGGGCTTCCACTTTCGTTCCATTGTCTTTACAGATATGGTCAAGAATAAAGGCACACAGAGGAGAAAGGGGTACAGGAGAGGGAGAAGAGGGACGCCGACTGACTGTGTTCCTTTCCACACCCCAGATAATTGTGCCTGATCAGGATTCTCTCCTGTGTTCCTTCCTAGCAGTATGTCCTACAGAAACAAAGGACCTACATCGTTTAATAAGCCTTTAAAGGGAAATACGTGCTTTCGATTTAAGAAAACTGGCTTGGTTCCTGAAAGCAACATGTCCCATGAAGAGTAAAATTCATGGTTAGAGAAACTCAACTATTATTAGGAACACCTGTAATGATCATACTCATGCCATCAACCACAGAACCCCATTACCTTCCTTAACGCTGTAAGCATACCTTTGGCTACATTTAAAACAGAGCACTATAAAACCAGTAAATGAGATTAAAGTTTTCAAACTTGGACAAGTCTCAATGTCATGAAAAATATGACAGTCTAATCCCTGTTCTGTGTTAAATAGGGTGGGTGCTCGGATAGCTCCTGAAACTCACAAAGTGAGTTTCTCCTAGTTCATACTTTTCCATAGCATCCAAAATGCAACAACCAGCGCCCAGTAGTAGAAAGGGAGAATTCACAGAAGACCCTCCCTTTGGAGAGTAATCTTACCTGTAATGCTTTCTCTTCGTTAAGCTCCAGCCCGAACACATTGTACCGCTTCACTTTAAAGAAGTCAGCATCGGCTTCATCGTCATCGTCTTCAGCTCTGTCCATGAACTGCATGGGTACTTCCTTGATCTTCTGTGTCTCACCAGAGTTAGACACAGTTTGAGAACCTTTTGGCTTTCTCACGGCTTCCTCTATTTCCCCTTCGTCTCCTCTTTCCTCTTCTTCACTCGTGCCATTAGACAGTCTGTATTCCATCTCTTCTGATCTTTTCCCACTTTTCTGAAGGATGGACATTTTCTCGCTAAAATAAGCTCTAAACTCTTCCACTTCATCGCTGGTGAGGGAGGCAGCCCTGGGCGTCACTGTCTCACTGGCCAGGCTGCTTAACAATTCTTCAGTAGAGTGCTTGTGCATTTTCTGAAGAAATCTTATTCGTGGTGCCACAGCAAGACCAAGAGACCTTAAATACAGGAAAAAGCGATCATAATTATCTCAACGCACCGCAAAATGGAGATCTGAACTGCAACTCCACCCACACAGATTAGAAATATCCAAAAAGAAAGTTTTAAAAGCAAAACAAAACCAAACAGAAAACGTTTTGGAGAGAACTTGTTTTTCTTAAAGAGGTGAATATAGCAAAAAATAAAGATCATTAAACCAGAAACGAGACAGCAACAGTTCAAGCACCAGGCCTGCCAACTTCGAGTTTAACTCTCACAACTTCACCTAATCCAGGGTGCTGAGACCTGCCAGGTTTATGACACTTTTGTTGTAAGAATAACTATATCAAATCACCTTAAAAACATTAGTATTACGCAAACTACGAAGATGGGACCATAAAATGTAAAAACCTTTTTCAGCAAAGAATAAGCTCAAGTACCATTCTCAAGTATCATCGTTCCCTCGTCTGAAGCAGACTAGGATACAATCATTCCTTAATAACACAAAGTATTATATATAACCTCCTCCCTGGGGGGCGTACAACAGAAAAATGGGTGAAGGGAGACGTCGGACAGTGTTAAGATATGACAAAATAATAATTTATGAATTATCAAGGGTTCATGAGGGAGGGAGGGGGAAAATGAGGAGCTGATACCAAGGGCTCAAGCAGAAAGGAAATGTTTTGAGAATGATGAGGGCAATGAATGTACAATGTGCTTGACACAATGGATGGATGGATTGTGATAAGAGTTGTATGAGCCCCCAATAAAATGATTAGAAATAATAATAATAACAAAGTATTTTTATGAAGCAGAGACAACAGAGATAAGAGGAAGCCGATGGGTCCTGTTAGGACGGGAGAAAAACGTAGAGCAGAACTCAAATTCTTACAAAGTCCAGACTTAATAATCTGGTTGAGAGTAGAGGACCTCAAGACTATCACACCCAGATAGCTCAACAACTGTGATCTGAAACTACTCCAGGAGGTCAACTTTCAGATAAATATCCTCAAGCAATAAAAAATAAAAATAAAACACCCATGAGTACTATGTTCCTTTAAAGACAAAAACATCTCTATACAACTGAAAAATGGTCAACATTTACTCTAAAGCCAAGATAAGAAGGCAAGGTGGGCAGGAGAACTAGATTAATGGAAACAAAATGAGAATGGAAATCATGGGAACATTAACACACTGGAAAATGTAATCATAGATACTGAACAATCTGTACAGTTATTGTTCAAAGAAAACCCTATTTTCTGTGTAAACTTTCACTAAAAACAAATTTATCAAAAAGACAGACCAACACAATTGCTGAAGACAAAATGAGTGCATAAGCAAAATGTTGTGAAGAAAGCTGATGGTGCCCAGTCATCAAAAGATATAGTGTCTGGGGTCTTTCAAGGCTTGAAGATAAACAAGCAGCCATCTAGCAGAGAAGCAACAAAGTCCACAGGAAGAAGTACACCAGCCTGTGTGATCATGACATGTCGATGAGATCAGGTATCAGGCAACAAAGACCCAGAATCAAAGACAAAAAATCTGATGAGGGCAATGAATGTACAAATGCACTTTACACAATTGATGTGTGTATGGATTGTGATAAGAGTTGTATGAGCCCCTAATAAAATGATTTTTTTTAAAAAAACATTTAAAAAAATCATATTGATGTGAATGAGAGGGAGAGCAGAGTGGAGATCCAAAGCCCATCTGTAGACAATTGGACATCCCCTTACAGAGGGGTCACAAGGAAGAGACAAGCCAGAGTGCAGTAAAGCACCAATGAAACATACAACATTCCTCTAGTTCCTAAATGCTTCCTCCTCCTCCACTATCATGACCCCAGTTCTACCTTACAAATCCGGCTAGACCAGAGCATGTACACTGATACAAAAAAGAGCTGGAAACACAGGGAATCCAGGACAGATAAACCCCTCTGGACCAATAATGAGAGTAGCGATACTAGGAGGATAGGGAGAAGGTGGGGGGAAGAAGGGGGAACTGATCACAATGATCAACATGTTAACCAGTCCCACCCCCAGAGGGACAAACAACAGAAACATGGGTGAAGGGAGACAGCAGATGATGTAAGATAAGAAAATAATAACTTATAATTTATCAAGGATTCATAGGGGAGAGGGAATGAGAAGCTGATACCAGGGGCTCAGGTAGAAAGAAAATATTTTGAAAATGATGATGGCAATCTATGTACAAAAGTGCTTGACACAAGAGATGCATGTATGGATTGTGATAAGAGCTGGAAATCATAAAATCTTCCAGCAAGGTAAATAACTGTGGTAAATAACTAACACTTATTCCATGGATCTACTCCCTTTTCCCTATGTCATGGTCCTTAGAAAAGCGGAGAGGCAGTACAGTGTAGAGGTGAGAAGTACAGTCACAAGTGTGACAAGTAAGGCCTACCACCTTTCTTCGTCCCTGACTGATGGCATGGCACAAGAAAAGCTATTTAAAAACTTTCTAGATCTCAGTTTTCCCCATGTGTAAACTGAGATAACAGTACCTACGACAAAGGGTTGCTAAGAAGAAAGTGGTTCACCAGTGTAATGTAATAGAGGACAACAGCGCCTAGCACCTGAACAACAACGATGGGGCACTTAAGGGCCCCTGGTGGCACAGTCCTGAAGAGCTCAGCTGCCCGTCAGGGGGGTGGTCTGAGTCCACAGTGGTGGTGGCTCCACAGGAAAGCTGCGGCAACATGCTTTTGGACTATGCTCACTGACAGCCTTGGGTTCCTACTCTGCCCTCTCGGGCTCCTATGAAACCAAAACCGACTCAGTGAACAACTGGGTTGGTTTTTCTGATGGAACACTTGTGGTTGTCATTCCTGTGCTGTTGGCCTGGGATGAAGATCCCTCACGGGATCCCATCAGAGCCTTTTCTCAATGTGCTACAATCAAAAGTATCTGTCTTACTCAGCTACTTACTGAAACTGCAATAGGTTTTCTGAAGTAAAACTTTAAGCTCCTTCAAGATAAAAGTACATCGAGAATTCTAACATCTAGCACAAGTCCCTGAACAGATTAGCCATTTAATACGTGTTTTTAGTAAAGTACATTTTTAAACCTGTATTATTGCCTACCTACACAACACTGCAGTAGGTATCAAAGTCCCCTGAAGGAAATTATACATCAAGAAAATTATATATCTCACGGAAAGTACACATCTAAACATCCACAGAAATGAACTGAAAATGTTAAATTAAGTTGTATCGATAAGTTAGGGTTAGGAGTTAATTCTGTGCTTTCTCTAAGCATCTTTAGCAACAAGCCTTCAAATGTACATAGTGCAAGTTACTCATCTGCTGCAACAAAACCAAAATGACCCATTGCCACTGAGCTGACTGACGCACAGCTGTACCAATTTGTCCCCGAAATACGGCCTTGCCGCGCCTCCCTTGCTTTCTATTATCCCAGCCAACTCTGTCGGCAAACCGGAAGGACTTCCCAGGAAACACACAGTATCACCTAGTGACCTAAACCATGGGATATCATATTCAGAAATGTACCATTTCTGCCTGGGGCAAACACTACATAGACTGACACATACATATACTCTATATATACATGCATATACTGATATATAAATAATTGTGCATGGGGGGAGGGTGGGCTTAGTTTTGCCCATGGCATCTGTTTTTCCACGTATTACCCAAGTGAAAAGGGAGGGGCTTACACTGTTACTTGAAGGCTCCTAAAACATCACACAAGTGACAAATTACCTGTTATACCAAACATATAAACTAACCCAAAGAACGGGAAACGGCCGCTGGCCTCCAGACAAGCTTTTCTTAGTACAAGAAGAGCCAGTGAAGAAAAGTGAATCCCTAAGATGTCTAGAGTAATCCAGTGTTTCAGAGAAACAAGCAGAAATCAGAACAATAAAAACATTTAAAGATTTCAAAGGATGTTTTAGCAATTGCGCTCTATCTCCCTTAAGAATAATCTACAGGATATTGCCTATATAATTTTAAGAAATTTCTACTTCTAAGCTTCTGGGAGGGGGGAAAAACACTCAACTGGTTCTCTACAAAGTTGATAGATTTTTATCTGTAGATCTTTACTGGATTCTTTTAAGGCAACTGCTTGGGGACAGAATTTTAAAATAGGACTTATGGAAGGCCAGGTTTGAAACAAATCCCCAGACTGAGGATTTCCATCTACAGCTATACTATGAATACTTACAGGGCATATTCAGGTAGAGGCAACTTGCTCACATCAAATACTTCTTTATCCTTCATCAGATATACTGAACGTATGTAGGAGACGAAGCACTATAAAATAAGAGTTTGAAATGTATGAAATGTAATAACAGAACAAAAAAATTTAAACCAACATTTTTAAGTTAACTAAAAAGATTCAATAACAAAATCAAAATCAGTTTGTTTCTGATTCACATGGTCCTACAAGACAGAGTAGAACTGTCTGCTTTAGGTTTCCGAAGTTATGAATCTTTCTAGGAGCAGCAAGCCTCGTTTTTCTACTGCAGGGCAGCTGGTGGGTTCAAACTGCTGACCTTGTGATTGGCAGACTAATATGTAACCCATTATGCCATCGGGGTTCCTTATAGACTCAATAATAAAAATCACAAAATATCTTTGCGCAACTCCATATAAAATAACTTTAAAGAGGGTGGTAGGCTAGCTTTTAGATGTAATTATTGGGAAGGACTGGAATGTGGTTTTTGCTTCAAGCCGACTCAAGAGCATCACCTCTTTCTAGCTCTTCTAGAAAGCAGCATCACTCAGCTACAATAGAATAATGGCAAAATGGTGTGATGTAACAATCTGGGACTTACTCTCACCTCCATTTGACTCCCTAAACAAATTTATTTTTTCATTCTCCAAGTTTAGTTTTCTCATCTATAATCAGCAATATCACTTCTACATAGAGTATTCTGGAAATTAAATTATGAAAATGCATGTGGAAAGCTTATCACACCTTCTGGAATACAATAAGTGCTGATAAATAGTATTTAATATTGGTAATAATTATTACTACAATAGAGCTTAAGTTTTCCAACAAAACTCTACTGTATTAAATAGGATTTAATAAAATCATGACAGATTAAAGTTCATTTATAAACCTTTTCTCCCTTTTTTATTACAGTTTCTAGAAATTCATTATCAACTTGCAATTTATTCCTTCCATTCATGTCTAAATTTTTTTTAAAAAACCTCTATGTATGACAGCTACACAAACAAAAAAAGTAAGTGTCATACTGGTCCACTGTCTGTCTGTAAACTTGACAAGTAGTACCAAAGAGATATCTCGACATCACTATTTTTAAATTCAGTTTTGTAAAGTCTATGTAATTTGTATTTCCATAGTTACTAACCCTCACATTCTCTCTGCTTTATATCAATCCCCTACACCCAACTAATCTTTATAATACTATTCGTACCCATGAACAACAATGAAAAATGCCAGAGTTCAAAGGTAATTTTTCCCCCCCAATTGTCCACAAGAAACCACCCAGGTTGTTTTTCTATCCAGATTATAATCAAAAGCTAGAAAATCACTCTAGGAAATAAGAGAATTTGCTGTTGCCTGCAACACAGTTAGCCATTCAGCTAAACCACGCATGACACTCAATAAATCACATCAATTATTTCAACATGCTGTTCTATAATCTTTGTTCTGGGAGGCTCATTTGCTGTGTGCACAAACCAGTGGAACAACATCCTTCCAATAGTTCCTATTTCCCGATTCATAATTGAAGGACCTCCGAGGGGTGAGGTGAAGCATGATAAAACCTTATTTGTGTATTTTCTTTAAATCTTCATGCCATCACTAAATTTCTAAAATAAAGCATAACTCCTACCTTGAAGTACATTTTCTAGATAAGAGATGTTTATGCTGATAAACACATGCACACGCACAAAATCCCAGCTCTACATATGTACGTATAAAGGAGAAGACTGCGCTCCGCGGTCTCTTTCATCAAGTGCTGAGAGCACACTTGAACTCAACTTCACACACAACCTTGGTGCCTGTGCTCCGCTTTGGAATTCTTCCTCATGATGGAGCATGATGATTCTCTACGTTCAGATCTAGAAACTGAATCTCCAATCTATCCTTTAGTAAGTCTGTGAACCTGAAAAAGTACTGTAATGGTTCCAACATCCCATTCACCCTCTGTAAAAAAGAGGCCGCGTTACTATAAACCAGTCATGGCATACCGTCACGGCAAACACTCAGACTTCAGCTTTATCTACGTCGGTTCTGAGGGCTTCTTTGCCGAGAAGAACCAGTTTCAGAACTGTCATATTAAGAGCCTGAATGCTGACCGGCTCCCTGCAGACTGCTCCATCCCCCTTGGACGCCCTGCCATAGCTCCTCCTAATTTCTCCCTTATGTCCTGTATCTGTTGAAATAGAATCCAGCCCCTGCATTCCTGCTCCTGAGTTCACGCCGGATGTGTTACTGGAGATGTGAAGATCTCACAGTATAAAACAGCAAAAGCATGATTAAGAATGAGAAGCTTCAAAAGAGAGACTCAGATATCTGTTGATTCAAGGACTAGATAACTGAGTCCAAGGCAAAATAACTTTAAATAATTCTTTTCCAAAGAATCCATTATGAAAAAAAAAAAAGAATCCATTATGGAACACTCTAAGAACTAAAAGGTAAATTTAACTTTTTAAAACATTTCTTCATTTATTTGTTAATAGAGAGAACTGCTAAGCCCAGAAAAGAAAGGGGAGATATTATGTCATAAACAGAAATACCATTCCTGGGTATACTTTAGAAATAGCTCTGTACTTTCTAGAAATTTAATGTGATATAGAAAAAATATTCATCTTACTGTCAAGACAAGTGTAGTCAGGTGTTTCACCAAACTTTATTGAAAAGTTGATGGCTTCATTGAGTGAACTGGAAGCCAGACTGATATACATCTAAAAATCAAGCTTAACAGAATGTGCTGTCTCACAAGATTACAGATAAGAATAAACATTTTTGCAGTTTACTCTGAAAACTGCATGGGGCAGGGGAGGGGGGCCTCCAAACTGTTAATGAAAGATTCCATTATCTTTTATTCCATTTTCTACAAACTTTCTGAAGCCTTCACAAAATTTTAGAGAATTTAAATCAGTTAAACTTATCAAACTGAACATTACACAATGTGAATATCAGAAGCATGGCCATAAATACTAGAGACAGCAGACAAAGATGACATTGAACTTTATTATATGTTCCATTACAACAATTGCATGCAATTCAAGGACTTACCCTTTGTGCTCTTTCTTTTAAATCCTGATCTTGGGCTAGAAACGATTCCAGTTTTTTCTGGATATCTATAAGTTTTTCTGGATTGATTCTTTGTAACAAAAAGATGATAAAAGTTAAACTAACATATCTCAATATTAGAAATTAAAAATAGCACAATACTGTAATGTAAAGATATGACATATTTCTCCATTTATGAGCCAGATTTGGCTGAAATTACATTAGACATAAATCTCTCTGGCACCTTATGAAGAAAACTGGCAAAAAAGACATAGATCAGACATTTTCTTTAAAGAACATCTCATGCTGAGTGAAAGATACTTGACATAAACACTGCAATTAGTATTAGTCACTTTCTAAATCTAAACTAAACTTTCTAAATCAATAAAGATGAGAACTAGGTGTCTGAGACAGTTGCGTGGTCAATGAAACGCCATAAATGAAAAGTAATGTCATTTTGTAAATACTGTCATTCTCAAATTTCACAAAATCAATTTCAAGTAATGAACATGAGGCCAGTGCTTCTGGAAATTTGACTTGGGGATATAGAGCATTTTCTCTATCCGGAAATGTGGTGACCTACAACCAAGTTGTAAAGCTTAACACGGCCCAGGGTGGTTACAGGAAATAATGAAATCTTTCATGGTGCTAACTTTCACAAAAGCAACCCATGTCTGTGCCTGATTTAAACTGAAATGCCTTGTTCCTGGTGGTGAATAGAGTGGTTTTTAAGAGTTTCGTTACAGAAAAATCTCAAAACATACAAAAATAGGGAAAATTTGCTTTGCTTCTTAATAATTATCAACCCATGGCCAATCAGATTTTGTCGATACCTCACCCACTCCTTTTTCCCTCTCAGCACAACCCGCACACCCATGACACACTAAAGCAAATCATGCAACCCTATTTTGAGGAGCTCAACACAAGTGAGATTTCGATTGTGCTGGGAACCTATACATCCTAATAACAGGAGGCCATAAACCTCAGAAATGGACAATCTTTAAACTACTTTTACCCAAGCGGTTTAATCCTAACAGTCACCAATGTTTCCAGCAAGTAACCTTCCCTTTCCATCTCTTTTTCACCACTAGCAGCCTTTGATAAAGTTGTTTTTTAAAACAGTCATGGTAATAGGAGTAGCAATACCATGAGGGCAGGGGGAAGGTGACCAGAGAAGGGGGGAACCAATCGTAATGATATTCTTATAACACCCCCCCTAGGGGGACAAACAATAGAACAATGGGCAAAAGGAGATAGCGGACAGTTTAAAATATGAAAATAATAATTTACAATTTATCAAGGGTTCACGAGGGGGCGGGGGGAGGAGCCTGATACCAAGGGTCAAGCAGAAAGAAAATATGTTTTGAGAATGATGATGACAACAGATGTATATATGGACTGCTGTAAGAGCTGTAAGAGTCAGGGGCTTACGTGGAGAGCAAATGTTTTGAGAATGATGAGGGCAATGAATGTACAAATGCGTTTTACACAATTGATGTATGTATGGATTGTGATAAGAGTTGTATGAGCCCCTAATAAAATGATTTTTTAAAAAGAGTTGTAAGAGTCCCCAATAAAATTTTTTAAAAAACGGTCACAAGCAAGATGGATGAAGGGGAAGAGAGCATTCAGTCATAATCCCGTGCAGTAATTCAGCAGTAATTTCCCAGCAGTCAACACAAAGAGTCCTTACTTGATTTCGTTCACAGGCACTTTCTTCTGGCGAAGCTGCTGCACCATCCCCTTTTCTTCTGAAGGAAGCAAAATTAATAAAGCTTCACCATCTTCTTTGTACCTGAAAGAAACAAAATCTTTGCAATCAATGCAATCTGCATTTTAAGTGCACAGTCTAAGAAGCAGTTAACATTAGAAATGCCAGTCCACACTGCCACAGAGTCAAATCTGACTCATAGCAATCCAACAGCACAGAACTACTCCCCAGAGTGTCCAGCATTGTAAATCTTCACACAAGTGGACGGACTGCCATTTCTCTCTCCCCAGGAGCCGCTGGCGGGTTCAAACTGTAACCATGGCACCCATAGGGCTCCTGTTAGGGGGACCACTTTCTTCAACTCTCCTATGACACAAACAGGCATGGCTCTGAGTAAGCTATCCCAAGGTTTATCAGGAGTGAAGTCCCCTTGCGTTGGAACCACTTGAGCAAAAACTAACAACAGTCATAAATCCTAATGACTTTTAGGCTCTGCTACCAAGAGCTAGTTCCTAAGGAACAAATCAATTAAAAAGCAATTGTTACAAAGTTCTCTAATTATAACACGGGAGCAGTTTCAAAATCATGCCACTAGAGGGTTGTAATAAAACTAGTCATTAAAAAAAAAAAAAGCTAGTCATTTAATAAACATGGCATCAATATAGCAAAGAAATCAATTCATCTTCTTAGGGATTTTACTTATAATTTGGGAATAAAAGTTATTCAGAGGTATCAGTTATATGAAATGAATCTGCTCAGGCAAAAAGCTGGCCTCCAACCATGTGCCCACCCCCTCAACCTGTTTCTTGGGTTGCTTTTAATTTTATTTATTTTGTTGATGTTAATATACACTCAATGAGACTTGACATTCTGTTCTGCATTGTCCTCCTTTTGATCAGAATCCCTCTATAGAATTCATAATAAAAATGTTCAGTAACAGTAGACAGGCACCATCCAGTCCTTGTCGTGTGGCAAAAACTGAAGCTGCTCATGGAGACAATTAACCACATATTCCATTTTCTCTTCCTATTCCTGACTATCTGTTGCTGCAGACAAATATCACAACTGCCCCCTGAATGGCCCCTTGCAAGCCTTTAAGTCATGATGAACTAACTACCCAACAAACTCCTCACTTGTGTGCTACTCAGTCAATTACAACTCATAGCTACTCTACAAGACAGTAGTTTCCTAGGTAATCATCTTCATAAGAGCACATCACCAGGTCCTCCCAAAGAGCTTGAACCACTGAACTTTTGGTTAGCAGCAAGCACTTAACATTGTTCCACTTAACATCGAGGAGTTCAAGAAGGAAGAGGACGTGTGAAACTGAATGCAGTAACAACTGTGCAATACTGCCTGATGTAATTGACCTATGGAATGCTATAATGATATCTGTATTAGCTCCCAATAAAATGGTTTGGGAAAATAAAGAAACTAATTATAAATGATTCATGGCCATCATTAAGCAGTTATGTATTTTTCTGTAATTATAAATATAAAATTTTGAAATCCTTTCCCCCAAAAAACCATTGCTCCATCAGAATCTTATTTTCATGCTTATAGCATAGTCTTCCCAAGCCATGTTGTAGTTACTTAAGGTCCTCATGCTACGTATATACAGATTTGTCCGATACCTGCTATTATTTATAAGCATTAAGATACAGAAAAGTAGATATGCAGGAGAATTTTGAAAAATAGAGTTCTTGTGAAAACATTCTCCAAGGTTCATACTATAAAATATGAATATCCTTATAAATAACAAATTACTTAATAAAGTTGTGCCCGGCATAAACTATACAGAAAACAAAGAAGGTGAGGATGAATATTCCTGTTGAGTGAGCTAACTCTAATTAGATCAAGCACATTCACACAAAAGGAAGAGAACTGGAGATTCATGTTAATAGTCACAGCGCTATAAGTGCATGCCAAATGACAAGCACAGATTTGGAAGCAGGCAAGTGATGGCTACACAACACAACCAACAAAGCTGGTGTCACACAAGGAGCCCTGGTGGCACAGTGGCTCCATGCTAGCTGCTCACAAAGGCCACGGTTTAAAACCACCAGTCACTGCCTAAGAGAAAGATGTGGCAGACTGCTGCCAAAAAGATTAAGGCCTAGAAAGCTATATGGGGTCATTCAACTGTGCTCCAGAAGGTCGCTTTTGAGCCAGAAGAGCCTCGACAGCCGTGGGCGGGGACTGGACACACAAAAAAGGCTGAAAGACCTTGTTAGACATATTTTACCACAATTGAAAGACAAAAATCAGTGGTCAATAAATGCATGAGCTCAGAGGCAAAAAAAGATCATGGAGATTAGAGAAAAGCACGTATAAATAAGTCCTATTAGAGCTGAACCTTGAGGATGACAATGTTTCTAGACGATTTGCGGGGCCAGTTCAACTCAAGGCAGGAAGATACCAAAAAGGTCCTGAAACGCAGGGTCAGCAAGCTAGCCTGGCTGCCTTTTGGAAATCCCAGCAGGCAATCCAGATAGATCTTCTCAAAGGACACAGGACGATCACAGGGCTTAAGGAAAAAGTTTTAAGATAACTGAAAACAGTATCGGTAAGAAAAAGGCCAGGAAACCTGTGTCTATGAATTTTTTTTTTTTTTTAACTTTTCTATCACGGCATGCACCTGCTCATTCTTTGAGGGTACCACAGGAAGTCCTATGCAAATTTCATTGGAAACATCACCTGACCCACTCTAAAGTCCTGATCTTACGTCTTCACACTTCTTTTTGTTCCCAAAACTCAAAGAGCATTAAAATGGAACATAATGTGAGCCCTTTGGAAGGTCAGAAGTGTCCTAAATCAAAGAGGGCAGTTCCTTGGGGAAGAGTTAAGAGAGATGGAAACACCACCTTCAGAAGCATGTAGACTTCGATGGAGGGCATGCTGAGAAACAATAGCTTCACGTGTTGAGATTTTTGTTTCATGAAAGTTCCTATCGTTTTATAGCAATAGTTTTTATTTATCCTCGTAGCTATAAAGCAAGAATGGAAATAGAGTGATATGACAGACTGGCCCTTGCTCTTACAAATTCACAACTTATTTAGGGACAGACGTTAAAACCAGTAATAGCAATAACGTGTTGTTAAGCACTCAGGACACTATGAGAACACAAGAGAGAAGTCTAGTGAATGTATTCTAGGGATCAAGGAAACTCCCTAGAAAACACGTGTAGGCTAACACCTGAAGACTAATGAGGAAATCGCCTAACACTGGGGTAGAGCCACAGGAGGGAGGCTGACTGTTCCAGGTGGAAAAGGAAAGGCAGCAGATCTGAGGGCCCGGGAATAATTCCCTAAAAGTATGTCTCTGACACGGGGTGATACCAATAAAGCTGAATGCATCATGTAGCTCCTCTGACCATATATCGACCTCATGACTGGAAAACTAGTGCCAAATATCTTCTCGTCAAGTTTTAAATGTGGCCCCTAAGTAGTATTAGATTAAACCACCAGCAAAATATAAAGGAGGTGATACTTCAAAACAAGAAACTCGTATCTGAGAGACATACAACTCCAAAGCCCAACGACCTCCCATCGAGCAGAAGCTGGAGAAAGAGATCTAAGGCATTCATATTGCCGCCCGCCGCCGTCTGCAAACCAGCAGAGACCACTTCACCGTGCACTTACTAAAATACCCTCAAGGGTGCCAGGCTCTTGAGGTAAAGGGAGTTTACCTTCTGCAGTAAAAAGACTTGCTTTGTGTGGCCCAGAGAAAAGCAAGCAAGCAGAAAGCAGAGAAAGCAATGAGTTGAAAGAGAACCAACGCTTTCAGCATTTTACATTCAAATTCATATTTTGGCAAAATGAAACGAATAAATTAAAATCTACAGTGGGCATGAATTGTGGCAAAAGGGTAAAAGAGAAGAAAGAAGGTAGCCCATGAATGAATTTTGATCTTCCATCAAACTCATAAGCCAGAACATTAAGCCTCAACACCTACATTACATATTTTACCTCCTCTTTCATAAGACCCTAAGAGAACCTGGAAGAATGAATCAGGACTAAGTCGCAAGCAGTCCATTCACAAACTTTTTAGGACTATGGCTAACTGAAAATACAAATGTGGCCAGATGCAAAAATTAAATTTAAAGGAAAACTACGGACAAGAATATAGGAAATCAAACCTTACAAGCATCTATTGAAAAGAACATCACTGACCATTTTGTCTTTCATTATACACATTTTTTACACACCTCTTTTAACAGAAACAATGTAGAGCACAAATTATCTCCCACACACCAACACCCAAAAATTTCCAGTAAGCTTTTATTCTGAGAATAAAAGCACTTTGAAAAGAGAGGCATAAGCACATTTCACATGTTTTTAATGCTTACAAGAATAAAGTCTATTTACCCATGAGCTAGCTGTTAGATTTCAAAAGCAATATCCAAGGCCTGAGGCTAAATATATGTAAAGAAGAAATAAATGTTCTTCATAAAATCTGTATTTTCAAATTTTATTTATTTAGGTGGATTATTTTTAAAGACATTCTAGGCGTCATACAAAGTCTTGCATCTGGAACAAGAAATTTTCATTTCTACCATCAGTATTGATACCACTTTACATTTATGCAGCTCTTTAGGATTAATGAAGAACTTTATTTTACATCAATATGCTTGTCTCAAAGCATGCAACCAATAGTAAAAGAGCAAAACTTTAATAATAAAGTCCTGAGAGGCTAATTGGCCTAAAATAAGCTATTTACTACTATACAGAAGCTACTGTTCAATCCACTAAAGTCTAATTTCTTATCCATTACTTTTCAACTATACCAAGATTTCCTCTGAAAACAAGGACCCTCGGGAGATTGTTTTATTGGTACCAGGAAGCTTATGTCTACATCCTGAATCTCAGTAATACTAACCAGCAAATGTAGGAGATACAGACCACTGGTCTGGTTTCACATGGTTATTCTTCCAAGTGAGGCTGTGACAGAGAGTGAGGAAAAGCCTGCCGTTCTAGCAATAACTTACCTTCTACCCATGAACCAATAATCCTCAACTACTCAGCTTCAAATTTCCAAATGCACAAACTCCACTGCATTTAAATCCTACACATGTCCCTTAAGCC